TATTAACATAATGATATCTAATGAGACTTAACATGAAAGTTACTCGTGATTTTTTTTGTAAACATTAAAATTAAATAAACCACCATCATCACCACCACCACCGCCATCATCATCATCATCATCATTATTATTATTTAATTGTTTATTTATTTATGTTATTGTTAAATTAGTTAAGTTTGAATTTTGTTTATATTTAAAAAAAAAAAAAGGAATTTTTTGTTGTTGTTGCTGTAAAACAAAATTTTATTGCATTTCACTTGCCAAATTTTTTATTTTAAATTTTATTAAAAAATTTTTCCTTTCTTTCTTCTTTTAAATAAAATAATAATAATAATAATAATAATAATAATAATAATAATAATAATAATGATAATAATAATAATAATAATAATAATAATAATAATAATAATAATAATAATAATAATGATAATAATAATAATAATAATAATAATTTTTTAATAAGTACAAATAGTCAATTAAATAATAAAAAAAGAAAAATTATTATTAAAAACATCAGGAAAATTTTTTTTAATTCGTGTACTTATTTATTTATTTATTGCCTTATTTTTCAAATAATTTCTTTTTTTAAATAATATAATTTTGGCGGGAATAATAATAATAATAATAATAATAATAATAATAATAATAATAATAATAATAATTAAAAAACTTATCTGATAACTTTTGACGTTATTTAAATGTAAAAAAAAAAAAAATTTTACTCACCCTTGTTTGTAAAATTCAATTTTATTATTAATAACGAAATTTTTTAATCACGGTAATTATTATCATCATCATCGTATAAATAAATAACTTATTAAATTAAAACTGTAAAAAATAATAATAATAATAATAATAATTTATTTATTTAAAATGAAACAACTTCAAACTCGGTCAGACTCTGAAAAGTTTTTTTAAAGTGTGGTGTGCGTTTGTTTGTTTGTTGGATCCAAAAGCTCCTTTGAGGTTAAATGAAGGACAAAACAAACCATAGGCGCATTCAAAATGAAAAAAAAAAATTCTCTTGTCAATATTAATGTTCTTAATTTAGATCAAGTTGATCTAATATGTCGTCCGAAAAAACACTACTAATAATAATAATAATACTTAAACATTATCATGTTAATTTAATACACAATTATTTCATATATACGTTTTTGTTTATAACAACGTACGTGAAATTTAATTTTTTTACAAGAGAAAAAATAAAATGTCGTCGTCGTTAAAATTTACATTCAGTTGTTAATTAATATTTTCCGTTAAAAGTTTTTTAATTAAAAAAAAAATATTAATTATTATTTACGGAGAGAGAGAGAGAGAGAAATTTTACTTTTTTCCTTTATTTGACGCCTATTGCAACTACACCGTAGAAAGATGAACGCCCAACACAATTTAAAAATAATGATAAAAATAAAATTAAAAAATTTACAAAAAAACGTGTTGTGCGGCCCCCACAAAAAATACAAAAAAAAAAAAATTTTTTTTTTTTATAAAAATAGTTGAAACTATTAGTTAACGAACTGCAATTCGACTGTTAAGAGAAAAAAATTTTAAAAATAACGGTCAGTTTTATTTTTTGTTTTGTTGCTTAGCAACCGTTGCGTAACTTGTTGTCGTTGTTGCGTCCGCCATATTTATTTTATTATTAAAAACCTTTTTTTTTGCTATTCATTTGATTGATTATTTCGAAAAATAATGATGTAAAAAAAAAATTAATATTTCATAAAATTAATCTCATCTCATTAGTCTCCCCCCTCCCCTCCCCATAAGTTTTTACGTGAAATATTATTATTTTTTTAACGATTCATTTCGGTTTAAAAATAAATAATTTCAATAAGATACAATAATGCATTATAATAATTACAAAAAAAAATTTTTGTAAAAAAAAAAAAAAACAAATAAATAATTAAGCATAAAAAAAAAATAAATTTCGATTTAAATTTTGTCATTAAATTAATCATGAATAAAAAATTTTGCCTAAAACGTGAACAATTTTTACTTTAACGCCATTTTTTTTTTAAACAAAAAAAAAATTGATTCTATTATTATTATTACGTAAATTTATTTTTAATACGGTACAAAAAAAAAATAAATAAACAAATTCGTAAATTATGCATTATCGACGAAAAAATCAAATTTTATATTATTATTATGTCAAATTATAAAAAATAATTTTTAAATATATTTTTTTTCCCGCCTTTTATTAATTTGAAAAAAAAAATTAAATTAAATTCCGCCTATTAAATTGTCACGTGATAAAATTTTTGTTTTACAAAAAAAAATAAAAAAATAATAAAAAAAATTGTACAAATTTAAAAAAAAAATAAATAAACATTTTCATGCCAGTTTTTTAAACAAAACATTTAAAATACTCCAAATGAATAATAATAATAATAATATATAAAAAAAAAAAAAAAATAATTTTTTAAATTTGTGTGTGTGCGTGTGTCAATTAAATCTCCTTACTTCCGAATTTTCTCTCATTATTTAAATGTTACCTTACTATTTTATTATCATTTTTGTTTTCTCTTCGACAACCTTTTTAAGTTTTTCCATGGCGGAAGCTGCGTCAAATTTTCGATTTAGTTTAACAAACTTAACGTTTCTCATAATTACGATCGACAACCAATCGGGAATAATTTTTGTTATGTGATTAATATGATTTTCTATTTCGCCTAAAAAAAAAAAAAGAAAAGAAAAAGTCGTGAGAGTGGAGAAATCTCGTGTTAAAAAAAAGAAACCGTTAAAAAAAAAAATGAACCTACTCAAACTTATACTTGTATTGTAACTGAATTGTACTTTTTCCATGAGAATCTCCAACGGGAGAACTCCTTTTTGCTCGTTGACAAACGTGGTCCTGATTATTCTAGCTATTTCTGGCAATCTTGTATACATAACAGTTTCCTTTTCTTGTTCTGGAGTCATTCTCATTACGTCGAGAGCTTTTGCGGCCTGAAATCCATTAAATCCATTAAGGTAAAATAAATGAGATGACGACAAAAAAAAAGGTTTTGCTAACCAACCTGTTTTGCTCTGACTTTCTCTAATAATGATTTCGGAATTCCTTTTAAAACACTTGTTGATCTAGCGTCGATTTTCGCCTTCGCTTCCGGACTTATTTCGGGTGTATCGCTTTCAATTTTTTCACTTTTACCATCGGCAACACTTTTCAAAGCATTTTGTACTCTTACATTACTACTAAGGAAATTTCTAGCACGATCTGAAACGTTAAAAAATGTTTAAAAATATTGATCGATAATAATAATAAGTATTACCCAATAAATTACCTAAAACTTCTTTTGCAGATGGTGGCCTCTCAGAGTTTGGTGGTTGAGGAAGTTCTTGAGGATTCACATCAGGTACGAAATCCAACATGAATTCCGGATGCCATCGTTTGAGATCATTTCTATTGATGGTTATGGGATGATCAAGTGTTTTAAGGAATTCCTTAAAGTATATTTTTTTATTTTATTTAAAGAAAAAAAAAAAAAACTTATTTATAGGTTTTCTAATATTGTCTCTTTGATAGGTTACCTCATGGTAGTCTTTCGTTTTCTCAAGTAAATTTTTATAGAAAATATCTTTTCGAGCTTTCATTACTTTAGGAGTCATGATTCTTTTTTCTGACAATATAAAAACATTATCACTATTTAAAACTTGGTTACCCTGAGCAAGAGTTGAATTTTCTGGCAGATTGGGAGTAATAACTAACTCATACCTGTATAATAAAATTATTTAAAAATAAACAAACAAGCATTTGTTGCAACTTTCATACAAACTTTCTACGAAAAAAAAATAATAATAATAATTTTATTTTTTAACATGTATTTAAAAAAACTTACTTGTCAACTTTAGAAGTAAAACCATAATTTTTAGTTTTTTCTACACTAAATGTAAAGGCATTAGGGTATACTGTTGCTATCTGTCCAAGATGTCGAATTGTAAAAGTTTTCCTCGTCATTTCCTCAACAGCAGGTTTCAATTTGCTGAAATGTACGATAAAAAATTTTTGAACAATGTAGTAAAATGTAATAAATTTAAATAATTACAATTATCAACATACTCAAAAGTTAAAAGTTCTCCTCTGTTTGTTATCATGGAGCAAATGGTATCGGTTGCACAAAATAATTCATAAAGTTTTTGATATCCAAAAGGTAGTGGAAGTGATGTGGTGGAATCTACCAAACTAGCAAATCTTTCATAAGCTGGCTTCCGAGGACTTTTTTGTTGTTTGACAGGGCTGCTCTGCAAATGCTTTCTAGGGCTGCAAATTCATAACATCATATATTATATGATGCAAAATTTTTTTGTTTTTTTTCGAGTATCTTAACTTATACCTGATTGGTACTTCAATATCAAAACTATTAAATTTTGAAATTTTAGGCAGAGTTCCAATTAACTTCTTCTTTTCTGCTTCAATTAATTCTTCAGCATGTTGATTAATTTTATTAATAGACTTTTGTAATTCGACTAATTTAGAACTTTTGTTAATTTTATCTTTGATTCCTTTCAAGGATATACCCTTAAATACAATAGAAACATGTTATTAATAAATTATTATTTTTGATATTTTTTAAATTATTACTTAAAAGCTTTTATGCTTATAATTTTTTTTTTGCTTTTTATTTATTACCTTTTTTTTTAGATTTTCAGTTGTTAGTTTTTTCTTAGTTTCTTTAATTTTGGATACAAATTCTTGAGCAGATTTTATAATATCTTCGGTGGGACATTCATTATTACTATCACTGAATTGAAGATTTTTAACAGAAGGATTACTAGTTGATGAAAAATTTTCAGGTTTACTAACGTTGCAGTTTTCATGTTCCTGAAATCACAAGCGTGGGTAATTCATATTAAAGAACCACGATGAAAGTCTTTATGCCTTAAAAAAAAAAAACTTACTTCCAATGATGCCAGCAAATTATTGTAATTATTTTTGCTTGTTTTACTCTTTTTTGTGGGCGAAAGACTACCAAGCAATTGAAATTTGACAGGAGATACCACGGTTAAAGGAACTTTTTGAGGAGATTCAGCTTTTTTTAGAGATTCTCTAATATCTAATTGCCTAGCTTTTTTTTTCTTCACTGGAGTTTTTTCTGGTGTTTTAAAAGTTTTTAATTTAATTTGTTCACTTTTTAATTTATCACTTTTTGCAGATTTGAGATCATACTCATCAGAAGCATAATTTTCCGTTTGTTCCAAAAATGTGCTTTCCGTTTTAATTAATTTAGATTTAAATACATCATCAGTTACGAGACGTTTTCGTTTACCGAAAAAAGAAGCTATAGACGGTTGCACGGACATATTTTAAAAACAAATTATACTCTTAACAAAGACACCTGTCCACAACGCTTCTTTTCTATTAATTTCGCGGCCAAATAATCATGCTCCCAAAATAAACCCGAGTGGCGACAAATTTCCCCTTTGAGTAGTTTAAATGTTGAATTGATGTAACATAAATTAAGTTGGCTATGAATTTACCTGCCATTGAGAAGCGGTTCGTTATTTACAATTTAAAAATCCTAATGTTTGGCTCAAACAAACGTAAGCGGAAAAAATAATTTCAAAAAATATTAATCAGGGCTTAAATTTCGCATAATATTAGTTTTATTAAATATTAAAAGAATGTTACAACATTCTTCAGGAAATATAAGGGGAGGGGAGGTATAATATAGATATAAATAATAAAAAAAATACGAAAAATTTTTTTATAAATAATTTAATGGAAAAATAAAAAAAAATATATTACTATAAAAAATTATATAATTATAATATGAAATAATAATATAACAATTAAAAAGTTTAAATTATAACTAACTACCATATACATAATTAACAAATAATTTATCAGACTAGGTATACTACACATAAAATTAATATAAAATCACATAAAATGTGTAGTTAAAATGGCAAAAAAAATTTTTTTTTGATGCTTTTGTAATTTAAAACTAAGTTTTATAATAATCAATTATTTAATAATTGGTGTTACAACCAGAAAAATATTAAACACAATTAATGTTTAAAATAAATGAGCATTTTATTAAACCATAATAATGATAATTTTGTTTTTGTTGGAAGACAAAATGCTTGCAAGGTATTTTTTATAATATTTTCTGATTTTTTTAATGAAACAAAATAATATGAATGAAAAATAATTCGTTTAAAAAGACAAAAAAAAAAAAAAAACAAAACAAATTGAAAATAATTTTTAAATAACCCAAAACCAAAATTTAAAAAAAAAAAAAAAAAAAGAAAAATGAAACAATGCAATCGTTCAAAATAGATTGGCATTAAACTAAACAAAAATAAAATAATTAATTAACAATTACAATAAAATTAAACGTAGTAATATTTACACTTAATTATTCTTTTTTTAAATCTAAATGGAAACAACATAAAAAATATATATATTAAAATATATATATATATAAAGCAAAAATTCGAATCGTATGACTTTCAAGTAAATTTCACATAATTTTATTTTTTTTTAAAATAAATTGAATTATTTCATACACATCCTGATGGAGCACCGAGTTTTATTTTTTTTCCAAATTATTATTAATAAATCGTTTAATTAACCATATTCGGAACTGACGGTCAAACTGAATTGTCCATCTTCTATCGTTGTATCGTGATACCATTGTCTAGTATCCAGAAGAACTGTAAAAAAATAATAATAATTCAATACATTTGTCGGTATCATTTAACGATAAACGTTAATTTATATTTGTCATACCTATATCACCAGGTTCCACGGTGACGGTCATTTTGTTACATATATTATCACATTCTGGAGGAGGAACCAACTTCCATGTTTTACGGCCAATGATTTGTGCTTGCCACATGAGTCTGCTAATATAATCAAGCTGAAAAAAAAAAAAAAAAAAAGTGCATAAATTAAATGAATGACCGATTCCAACCTTGACTTTGGTTTTCCTTCAATTAAATATATAATTTAACCGTCTTTTTATGTATTGGATCTCAACCAAAATATTTTAAATGAAATTATTTCTGGCAGACGTAAATATAAATAACAGAAATACCTAGACGAAAATATAACGGAATAATGATAAAACCTCACAATTAAATATTTGAAAGAAAAAAAAATGGGGGAGGGGGAGGGG